AAAATGTATCATTATGAACGATAAAGCTCTCTTTTTTCTTTTGCCATTATTTCTGATGCTTTTAAACAAAACTGTTGACATTCCAGCATTACAATGTTATTGCAGCCAGCATTATCCAAGACGTGAACACTGCAAACAAATACAACTGCACGGGAAAAAAGAATATCATGTTTGACGTGAAAAGCAAGACAACAATTATGGTGAGTGTGAGCCAATAGGATCTCAACATTCCATTTTACTCTCATGGTAAACACTGTCAAAATCCATGTACCCATTTTGATTGGAGGTAACGTTTAAAGACATGGGCGTCTTTGAACCAAACCGTTTCTGCCTACAGTCGAAAATAATTTCGACGGCCACCCAGAGTAAAGCAGAAAAGTGCTTGTCTTAAACAGGTGGGTGTTTTGGATTATGCCATCCTCTACTACTACTAACACTGACAAAGTATAAACTCGGTACCTCAGAATTACAAAGTTATATTATCTGACATTTTAGCTGTTTTGAGTTACTTAGACCGTGGGGTCAAAAAGCAGAATGTTCTAACTGCTCTATCAAAATAGTTTTTTTTATTTGAGTCGTTATCAGGATATTTTTTAAAAACTGCATTCGAAAAAGCTTGACATAATGTGAAACTCAAAACCTGTGACGTCAAATTTCTCAAAACTAGGTACTGGGCAGATAGCATGTTGTGAAACTAAAAAACATTAATGTCAAATTTCTCAAAACTACGTACTGAACAGATAGTGATTTGTAATTCTAGGATAGCTATATGTCTAATCTGCAGACCAAATTAAATATTGCAGCACATTTAACATCATTTTGCATAAATTATCTGAAACACAAATTTGCATATTTCGTTGTTTTATGCAATTGTCTGCCTTTTTAGGTGTCAGATAAATGAAGCAGAATTGAAAAATCTGTGTAATTAACCAAGTTTTGTTGTTTTGAGTTTTTTTAAGTGGTCTTCATACAGTGAGCCGAATGACCAGTATGTGTGTCTTCAATTAGTTAAAATGTGAACAGCTACTCTTTTTTAGAAGCATTATTTTTGGTGATGGCTTTGACAGTTCGCTACCTCAGAATTACTATGTTGCCTTTTCGAATGCAATTATATGAATATCTCGCTAACGACTCTGAACAATCGTACGAGATCGGTAGAGCAGATAGAGCATTTGTGAGGCAGCGTGGTGGAATCAGGCTTTCGTCAAAATAATCAAAGTAAAGAAACTGGCATTTGCCCGCAGGTTTGTTAATTTTTATCAATTTTTTGTTTTTTGCTCAACACCTTTCATGCCCATTAAAGAACTCATTTCTGTGTGGATATTTCTTTAACAAAAACCTTGATTAAAGGCACAAAGAAGGTAAATCTTCAGTTACCACGGACTCTTAAGCTAAGGAAATAACTCATCTTTTGCGGCCATTTACTCACTAATTTTACCTCTGAAAACAGGTGACCCCTACCTCCTTTCGCAAATATATCGACTTGTATTCAAGGTAAATGGATATTTACATGTCCAAAAATTGACGAGAGCCTGATTCCACCACGCTGCGTCACATTTGGCTTCTGAACTCTTGGTTTTAAGAACTTAAAACGGCCCAGAAAATTGTCAGATAAAACTTTGTAATTCTAAGGAAGCGTAATGTGTCCGCTACGTGTTCTGAGAGTTAAGAACGTAATGGACACGTATCCAACCAGCAGACCAAAAGGCACATTTCTGACTATCGTACAAACACACGAATTCACCCTTTTTATATTTCTGTTTTAGTTTTTTTAAGTTGTTTTTTTTAAAGGTTTTTTTGTTGGGGGAGGAGTCTGTTGTTTTTTTGTGTTTGTTTCTTTAAAATTAGGGGAAACTACTTGAGTCAGCAGAACACAGATTTGTGTGCATCATCGTGGTTAAATCATGTTCTCGTTAAAAATAATCAATTTTTCTGCCCGTTGTAAAACATTTTTTTTTCTTCTTTTTTTTCTCTGAGCACTGTTTATGTCCATTTAAACTCATTCATTTGGGGAGTTTACTTGAAACGTTTTTCAAAGGCACACAAAAGATAGATTTTCAATTTCTAAATACACAGCAGCTTTGGAAGTCACCATTTTCTCCCTAATTCTACTTCTGATACAAGTAGATACTTCCCTCCTTTTCTCGCAAATATCCTGGATAGACGTGTACTTTTGTTCCTCAAAAGTACAGCAAATAGACAAGCTTTTCTATGATACCAGTATCTCTATCTATCAACAACAACTAAACAATTACAAACAAGTCTGAGTGCATCATGTCGTCGTACAAATAAGTCTCTCTGGGGTTTCAAGGTAAACACACACACAAAGAGTTATTGTAAATCAAATTTTTTAACAGTGCTGGTGATCTGTTCACATTATACTATCTACTAAGGAATTATAGAATTTATCTTAATAATATTTTTCATAATTATCATCATCATCATCATCATCATCATCAT